CACATGATCGGAAAGCTCCCGACCACAAGTAGCGATTGGGACCTTTCCGTGAGGCATTGGTGAATGTGCTGGGGTTTACATCGGGTATGCAAATATATGGCCCCTTGATACCAAGGCCCAGCCACCGAGAGGCCACATGTGCTGAGCATCAAGGAGTTCAAATCCTTGCAATGTACAGTACATAGACTACCCAAAGGGGAATTTTCTTCTCAACAAAAGTGGAGTTACTCTTTAAATGGCCAAAATACTAAATCTGTGGTCAGGGAGGAGAATCCTTCATTGTGTGTCCACATCACTACCTGGGTAGAGTGATCAGAGGTGTGGCTGTTACTCAGCTCTGCCAGCAGAGAGCGCAGCAGTGTGAGGACTGGAAACAGCCTCCTCATTTAGAGAAAAAGGTACTTTCAAGCACATCTAAGCAAAAACCAGTTAAACATGATAACATGTGGAGGTAGTGGGCTGAAAAGAGATACAAAGGCATGAGACTTCAATTAGGCTTTGCATAATGAGATGTCAATAAGTAATGACATGCAGGTGCCATCTCGTTTTAGAGGACAATGTTCTGCTGCACAAAATATTCAAAGACAAATGGTTCAACAATATAATTTTATTGTGTTTCCCCGCTCTCCCCTGAAGCCCCCAAAAAACAAACTGTCAATACAATGGTTTTACAAATACAAATTCAGATTGCAATTACAATGAAGCAAGTCACATGGCGACAGACAGAACATGCTTGCTTGATGGAATTCCCTTAGTAATTTCTGTACAAGATTACCAAACACGCCAACAGGAAACCAATAAATGCTCAGTTCAGCTGGATGAATGATGAAGATGAGGGGGCATTTGTTCTACCATGAATGCTCATCTAAAATTAAGTAGAAATCTAAGGAAATTCAATATTCGTCCAGGAATCAAACAGCTGAAATGTAAACTGTTACCTAAAAGGGGTTTTAGTTGTAGTTTAGTTATATATGTGTGTGTGTGTGTGTGTTGTACATGTAGACTGAAGGCTAAGGATGAGACAGCCATAATGACCCCCTGAGTTAGCATTTGTATGAATGCAGCCTGTGCCTTCATAATGACCATGGTCTTAGAGCTATTTACCAACCTTATTCAAAAAAGTATTGTAGAGACCAAGTGCAAAGGGCAGAAATAAAAACCAGCCAATCAGATTGCAAATGCATGTTTCTTAGGTATGATATGCCCAATTTTACCTGGACTACTACATGTCCGATGCTCCTGTGCTATTCCAGTACAGTGCAGGCATGCAGGGACTCAAGCTGGTACTGTGTATATGAGCCAGCAGTCCATACTAGGTGACAACGCTGCTCCTGCATTGACAGGCAACCAAGCAGCGATGTCACCCAGGACAGGAAGTTGTTATAAAGTCTCTACTGGCATAATTACCTTGTAAAAATAAAGATAAAGCAAGCCTGCAAAAAATAAAACACACTGAGTAATCTACAACACATTGAATTTGGACAGAGTTTGGACATACTTCAATATTCTTCGCTGCATGGGGTAACTGCACTGCAATTTTTGAAAAAGCCTACTTAAGTGGTTTAAAGATAAACCAAGGTTGGTGGGTATGGGTTTCTACACTACTTTGTTTTATGATGACAAAACTATGGTTTTATATTGAAAAGCTCCTTATTTGTTAAGGGAATGCAAGGTACGAAGGTTTTGTGTGCAGTGTAATTATCCAACGTAACCAATCAGGGTAAACCCTTCTAGGCAACTGAATTCTGAAATGATTTGCGATCAGCTGCTAAGGGTTGGAGCATTGGTGTATGCATTACTTTATTGAATAAATCAGTTTTGTTTCCTTGTAGACTTAAGAGAGTGTGTTTTCCCTGAATATTCATCCAGCTGCTTCCTCCAAGGTCAATGCCTCAACCCACAAAATGTAGGGTTCTTAGGTGGCCAGTGTAGTTCAGGCTAGTGGGTAGAACTTTGTATGTTATGCCTATAAAATACTATAACGATTCTTTCACAATATTAAAAATGACATGATAAAATATCCAGCAACAGTTTGATCACTTTTTTTGCACAGATTTCATGGTTGCACATATTCACATATAATGTAGCAATAGAAATAAGCCAGTAATTCTTGCCTTCATGGATAGTTTAATGCAATAAAAAATAGTTTGTACATGGTTACAAAAATATATTTTCCGACATGTTTACACATTTTTAATTATGTCATTATTTTTGTCCCTTCCATTGCCGCAATTGGAATGTCTCATCTGCTTCAAATAAACAAACGTAAGTGGGGAAGATGTTGGACAGAGTGTCTGAGAATACTGTATATACTATTTTTATGGGCTAGCTAACACTGCATTATACTGTATACCAGTGGTCTCCAAACTGCAGTCCCTGGGCCAGATGCAGAGCCCTTTGCTTATTTTTATCCAGCCCTTGGGGCACTACTTTATCCACTGATACCAACAAAGGAAAATAATTCCACCCCAACTGACACCAATGAAGGGACATATTGCCTCCCAATGACACCAATGATGGGGCACAATTCCTCCCAATGACACCAGCAATGGGGCACAATTTCTCCCAATGACACCAACAATTGGACTGCATGACACCAATGATGGGGCACAATTCTCCTCAATAACACCAACATTTGGGCACAACTCTTCCCATTGACACCAAAGATGGAGAATTGTCTTTTCCCACTGATGTCAGGACCTTTTCTACTCCCTTTGGTCACAGTCCCATCCTCCTAAAGTCTGCGGGACAGTAAAATGGCCCCTTGTTTAGAAAGTTTGGAGACCCCTGCTGTATACTATGGCTTTTTATTTCTTTCTTTAAGAAAAGGTTATCTACCATAATGTAAAGCTCTCAGAATTTCAATTACAGGGGTTTCCATTACATATGGTCCTGGCTCAGGCACTTTATAGTGGTGATGTTTAAGTTGTAGGGTTCATTTTATTTATGTTATTTTAAGTGTTTAAATTAAATGAAAAAAGCAGACTTCACTTTAAGTAATGAAAATGAACATTTTTAAAGATGAACTACAAGCAAAAATATAAATACACAAACGAAATGTATTTAATGGAGCTGTTTTACCTGTCAAAAATTTGTATTTCTGTCTGGCAGGGAAGGAGACCTGGGTTCTCTCTACTGCAGCTAACAAACAGTGAAAAGAGAAGCAGTACACTAACGAATTCACCTCTCTGTTACTTTGCTTTCTACTGCTATGCTAGCTTTTAGCATATGAGCACCGCAGCATATCTGACCGCCTCCTTGTACTATTCTCTCTTTTCCATTCTGAGTTCTGCTATGCAGAGACTGCAAAAGGCTAATATGCAAAAAATATGAGATAAAATCAAATATTGTGTTATTTTGCAGACCTGACACCTGGATCTCAATAGAACTAACCTGGTTTCTTGCAGAGTTATCATACTTATTTCCTACATTTGAGTTTAATGTGCTTGCCTAGCTGTTTTCATAAATAAATTATGGGGAACATTTAATGGCAGTCAACAAACTATTGGAACAAACAAGACAATCCAATACCAAAACCAATAGCTGGGGTTGAAAAGGGTAACCAATAGCTGTGGTCATAAAGTTGTAATGTGTTGAACCCTTGTAAAATGAATGAGTACACATCTAAATCCCTTTTTTCCCAATGAGTTAAATTCATCCCAAAAGAGGAGGGATGTTCATTAATTTAAATATCTTAGGTCAACTTCCATTGTGAAGGGCTGTGTAAAAAGTGAACCTTTAACTGAACCTTGCCAGAAACGAACTGGTTGTTTTATTTTATATTAATATTTTTACCAGCCCCCCCCCCCCCTCCCCCATCTATCAGTCTTTCTACCATAGCTAATTTTGAATAAGAGCTCAGATTTTGACAACACTTTATGCTGTGAAATGAAGTTAACAAACTGGGGTTTGTAAATCATTCAACCCCTTCTATGTACCAGTGGGCAAAGTCTAACCTCTTTGAAGTTCTGGTACAAACCTAACAAGGTTTCCTAGCCCACTTTCCTGGGTATAGCCTTCCCCACCGACTTCAGTGGGTCAGACATCTAGTGAAGGGACAGGCACATCAGTACTTGGTATTATACTGGAATGGTCTATTTGATGGAACCCAACTGTAATACTAGTGGGAGAAAGGAGCTGCATCAGTTAAGGTATGTTAGATTGAATGGTCCTTTTAATATTTTGCCTTGATTTTATTATAGAATTCCTATAATGCAAAATGTAAAACATTCATATCAAAAAAGGCAAAGCTTGCCTTTATTTTCAACTAACTTTACTGCTAGTGCCTTCAGAAAGAACATTTGAAAACCATATTACAGTGTTTACGTGCACATACTCTTTAACTGGCCATAACCGTCAATGCATATGCCATTGATAAGTGTCAATTTAGTGCAAACTGTATAACAACATTAAAATAAAAGCTCACTGGCAATACTTTCAAAAAAAGAAGATACTGCCTCTTAACCTTTTAACTAGACATGTAAAACTAGATACCTTCTCACAGAGAAGAGAATAAATACACTTAAGATTTCATATACACACAGAAATACGGTAGTAATCCATTAAAATTCACATTATTTAAAGCTTAGATAGACACATCAACATTCATCATCTGTCGGACAAATTTGATTTGTCAAGAAAAAAGTGTTTGCAGTTGAAGGGGGAGTCATAAGACACTTGATCTTCTGTCCCTCGAAAAGTAGGCAACTTCCAAAGAAAGTTGGCCTGTTCAATCTTTAAAGGTGCCAGTAGAAGGTAGAAAAATATCAGGAAAGTAAGGACACACAGAATTGATGTTTTCAATAAGCTGAACACTTTTCTTTTACTGTATGCTTTCCGTTCTTTCAACAGCCTTCAGAAGGTTAAATCTAGAGTACCACTCAATGAAGGATTGGAGTTCTTGCATGACTATGTCCTTGTAAGTGGCATATTGTGTTCCTACTGTCAGCTAATAGCACATTTACTAAGAGCTGCCTATACAACTGTAGTAACCAAAGTCTCTATATACACTTTTCTGATAAATTCAATGATTCATCAGGAAAAGTGACATGAAGTGGATTCCCCTTGGGTGAGTTGCCATTCTGAGTGACCCTTGTGGGGCGAGTCTCATTTACAAGCAGTACCTGTTCAGAGTCTGGACCCTGAGATGAAACAGACTGGTCAGAGCCACGTAACGTCCTGTCTGGAGCCCCAGGAAGATTTATGGCCATGGTGGCTCCTGGTAAAATGGTGCTGCTTCTAAAGCTACCATCACTCAGTTCGAGAGGGTACAATAAAGTCTGTGATGTTGAACTAATTTCTCGCAACTCCCTGGAAACAAAGGAAGGAGAATGACTAGACAGGGCTGAAGAGACCCTCCTGCCGTCTGTGCAATTGAAGCTTCCTGCAGAGCGTGGTCGCCTGCCACCGCCGATCCTACAAAACAGACACTTTATTTTCTCAATCACTTTGCTTAAGACAGTCTTCCGAAGGAGGATATAGATCCAGGGATCCAAGATAGGGTTCACAGAGGCAATGCGGATGGCTTTCAGATCTAAATTGCTTGATATATCCTTTTCTATGGGTGGTTGGTAGAGCTGGTTGATGAATATGCGCACCTGCAGAAGAGAAATGGATGGCACAAGTTAATTTTTCTTGAAAGCTGAGTGGCAATGTCCAATTGTGGAAAAAAACAAGTTCTTTATTGTTGGAGATGGAAAGGAATTTGGAAGAGCAATTAAGATAATATTGCACATACATTATATTTACTCATGAGGTGTGAAGCACCATTATCTCTGGTGCAAAAACATTCCATCTATACATACAAAACACGGCAAAGCCCAAGGTCCCTATGGAATGTATAAACTGTTTTTTTATGGGCGCTTTAAACTTTATGATATTGACTTGCATTATCCATGATTACCTGCTTGGATGACTTTATATGCCATAGACGAAACATACTGTTTATCCTGGTGGGCTGAAACAATATCACCTTTTCAACCTAAATGGAATTCTGTCTGTAATCTAAATATAGATGAATGGAAAGGGCTCTAGGCATGTCTTTTAAGAACTAACAAATTCCAGACAGAGATTTATGCTCCAATCAGACTATAAATTAAATCTAGCTTAAAAAGATCTTTGTGTATTTGAAAACACAGCAGGAAGAGAATTACGTAGCCAAACATTTTGAAGAGCACCTGTAGTCTGCTTACAATGGAAGCTGCCGGGATGGCATTTTTCTACTTTTACTGTCAAGCCATGTATATAACCGCATGCATGTTTTCACACACGTACCACGAACTTGAGTACAATCGGTCTCTTGCAATGTGCCACAGTATTCCATTAAACAATTAAACATTTTGCATTTTTTTAGGATTAGACACAAGTTTGAAATAAGCAGCATGGTGCTATGAGGAGCCACAGACAGACTGATTCGACTCTTAGGTGAACAAAGTGGACTTGACCTAATTGTTTCATTTCATACATAGGTCATTCACTCCTATGTATGAAAGTGCTGGGTCCAGTGCTGGAAAGTGCTAGGTCCAGGTCCTTTTTTCAGTGGGAATATGGGGAAATGCGGTTTTGGCACCTCCAGCACTGAATGTATGCAATGCCAAGGGGTTCTGTGGTGTGAAGAAGGGTATATTGATACTGGCTGCTGGGGGATCTATTATTGCCTTTTGTTTTTGAGAAGGTCTTCTTGCTGGTGGGGGTTTTATGCTGCTGGGGGTGGGGGGGGGGGGTCAACTGGTGCTGTAAGGGATTAAATATTGAGGGATGAGATCTAATGATGATAGCTGCTGGAAGATCTATTGTTGCTAATGGGGGCCTATTGTTGTTAGAGTGTGTCTATTGTTGCTGGGGGGTCTATTGTTGCTGGGGTGGTCTACTGTTGCTGGCTGCAGGGGATCTATTTTACTGCTTTTCCTGTTAGCATTAACAAATTTAATACAAATTATTTAACACCACAAAATGATACCTGGTTCTGTATTCTTTAAAAGGAGCGGTAGTGGGTGGGGGTAGGTGCTGGACACACATATGGCAAATCTGCTGTGGTATGAAGCCCTACCTACTTCTGAAAAGTACCCTAGTGTATCCTAGTGTTGTAAATGCTAAACACTGATATATACAATTTATATAATGCATATGAAGACTGATGTTCTTATACCATGTTATCATTAAGGTTGGTTCCTACATTTGCTCATAAGGGTTGTATTAGACAAGGTTCGGGATTTTTTTATATTGTATACTTGCGAAATCATCTGCCTGGACCAGTTCTCTTTAACATGCCCAGAGATGCAGCTGCCCAGAATTACTTTTCTTAGCATCTCAGTTTATAAGGCAATTTGAATCCCTTATTGGTGCAGCCAGCTGAGACACGTTGCATGAAGCTGCTACCAGCAGTAGACAATTGTCCTATATGTAGCGTTGTCCTTAACACGGTTTTATGACACGTTTTATAGATATGACCTTATATAATCCCTATGAAGCAAAGAGCACAAAGTTTATGAAACCATAAAATAAAGTGTGTGAAGAGTTGTGTATTCTACCAGTATAATAAAACAAACTATAAAACCCAGGGAAATATAATATGCTTTTATTACATTTCTATATTTGAATCTCTGTTTCAACTTTGTAAAACCCCAAAAAATGTGATGTACAATGTGATCACAGTCACTATATCAAATCTGGTTTGGAAAATGTTAATATTGTTGAAACAGAAAAGAAAGCCTCTAATCTGGTTTTGTGATTCAAGTATGCAGATTGGCAATGCTAGAGAAGAGTCAGAAGTCTTTATCTGCTGGAAGAATTGACATGATAGCCAGGTAACTGGCTTTTTTTAGAAGGATGAGCCAGTAATGGGAGTCTACAAATATCCATGAAAGGTCATGAAGTGTGTATTAAAGACAACTAGTGTTAGTACCTGAATATGTCCGGGTGTCATCCTCTTGAGATCAATATAAGGGGGAAGCCGCTCTAGTAGCATACTAAATGGACAGCAGGATGAGCTATACTACTTCTCCTTTATTGGCCATTCATAGGCTGGGGGGAGCAGAGGACCAGGGGCGGAACTGACAACTCATGGGGCCCCCGGGCAATAGGGGATCATGGGGCCCCTGTGTCCTTGCCCAAACTCAAAAAAGGCTATGAAAAAGGTACCAGGGGCATCTCATGGGGCCCCCTACTGACCCCGGGCCCTCGGGCAGTGCCCGAGTTTCCAAATGGTCAGTCTGCCCCTGCACAGGACCTAGTTGTGTTACTTAACTGCAGCAGAGAAAAATCAGGTCTTCAGACTGACAAGGCAATGTAAATCTCAGAAATACAATTCCTTCGGCAGGTAAAGCAGCTCTCTTCTATGTATTATATTTTTTGTATTTACCTGTTTGCCTGGATTTCAAAATCCCCACCTAAATTTTGTAATGTGTTACTCTGACCATTAGATGGCAGTTCCTACAAAACAATTTCTGTCCAGGATTTCAAACAATCTTATATATATATATATATATATGGTATATAAAATAGTAGGTAAGCCAGGCTGCAGCACACTCCACAGTACAATTTATGCCTGTTTGATAAACAAAGCAAATATCAGTTATCATACCCCACCCATTTCAATTATGTTTAATTACAGATAGCAACCTAACCCAACCTCTGAAGCTGCGCAGACTACAATATATTTTATTTTCTTTAATGATTTCCTTATTAATCACTTTGTTGCTGCTATGAAGTGTTTAATCCTGCAGTAAGAGTGGGAAGTTTGGGATTATAGTTTTCAGAAAAGTGAAACTAAAGCCTAGTACACACCATCAGAAAATTATGCAAAAAAAAAAAAATACCGCTTTCGTAGTGATCGTACGATAATCTGATTGTTAGTACTCTTAGATTGTAAACTCCCAGGATCAGGGCCCTCCTAACTCTCTTGTATTGAACTGTATTGTTGCTGTATTCTCTCCCATTATATTGTAAAGCGCTGAGCAAACTGAAAATTTTTCTCGTACGATACCAGATGGTACCATTTTTTTTTTCATCAGTACAGTTTTCTTTATCCGAAAACCCAATATAAACACAATACAATACATTACATCTGTCGCACAAGAATTTTCGTAACTTTAGTAACCTCTTCTTTTTCGATATGAGACTAGCATGCAGAAAAAAAACAGATGATCAATTCGCCTGACATTCTCATTATTATTATTATTATAAAGGATTTATATAGCGCCAACAGTATGCTCAGCACTTTACAATTTAAAGGGAGACAATACAGCAACAATACAGTTCAATACAAGAGGTTTAGGAGGGCCCTGCTCCTCGGAGTTTACAATCTTCTCATCATGTGTACAGGGATTAAAGCTCTGCTTTTAATTTGAATAGATCAAATAATAGATAAAATATGTAAGAAAAAAAGAGTGGCTTTTTAGAGAATACCCTTTATTGGCTAATTTAAGTTATTAAAGATGCAAGCTTTTGGTCACTTTGACCGCTTTGTCAGGGTCTACAAAGGTTATCACTTAAATTCCAAACTTTCTGCATTAAGCACTGGCTAGCACAGCACAAAAGTCTACTACAACAATGGATAAAAAAAAAGTAATTTTCTGAACACTCCTCACACTACCATAGGTATGGGGATGGCTGAGTCTTGTAAAGTTCATCCAATGTCAGATAGTCTTCCCCTCTCACATCCCTGAAATTCCATCAGGCAAGAAAAGATCACAGATCAGCAACCTGCCAGCTGACTTCAAGGAGATGTTTTATGACCTTTGTTAATCCCATTAAGAGTGACAGTTTGGAAATTTCCTGAGTTCAGCCGGTCCACACCAGAACTCAAATGTCCCTGGAGACCGTGTGTTGGCTATATGATCAATCATGAAATATAGAAGTAAAGAAAATTGCTCAAAGCTTTAATTATAATCTATATTGAACATAATCTACATGTGGTTCCACCCACAGACCAATACATCACAATGGAACCACGGCATGCAGTGGTGGGACGCACTATCTGACTCATCCAGAGGTGTTGGACACAGGTTCCAGATTTGCAAGAGAACAAAGATTCTACTTCTTTTCCCAGCAGCAAGGGATCTTTATTAGGTTAATGAAGAGATATATAATCAATTCTAATTAATACGTTTTCTTTGTATCTTAGAATTGCTAGGGGATAATTTACACCTATGCACTTGCAGCAATTATTACAAAGCAAACTACTGTGCTATATATGTGCGCTGTAGTGCATTGCCATTCTTTCATTGACACCCCAATGCACATATACAGTTAACCAATGTTAACTGTAGCGCTCCACAACACATGTATATGACTTTGTATATAGTTGTTCAGAAGTATATGTGTTGGGGTGCATGCCTTGACCCTAATTTTATAAAATTTTAATTGGGATACTTTAGTGCAATGCATGCCAATGTACAACTAAATATACTGTTAACATGTGTGAATGTCACAACAGTCTCTAAGCAGGTAAAACAGATAGCCCTCTATGGTGTGGGCCAATGGTCTCCAAACTGTGGCCCATTGCCAGTGCTTGCATTTATCTGGCCCTTTGGGCACTCTTCCTCCCGCTGTTATGAGACACTATTCTTCCTCCAACAATGAGGCATAATTCCTGCCA